TGTCAAACGATTAATCGCGATTAATCGCATCCAAAATAAAAGTTTTTGTTTATATAATATCTGTGTGTATACTGTGTATATTTATTATGTATATATAAATACACATACATACAGTATATATTTAAGAAAAATATGTTATGTTTATATATTAAATATATTTATATATAATATAAAATATAAGTAAATAAATATAAGTATAAACGTAAATATTTCGAAAATATATATACTGTATGTGTGTGTATTTATATACATAATAAATATACACAGTACACATGCACAGTAAACAAAAACTTTCATTTTGGATGCGATTAATCGCGATTAATCACTATTAATTGTTTGACAGCACTAAAAATTATATTTAAACTTTATTTGGTAGTATTTCTTTATTGCACAATGCACATTTACAAAATTAGTTGTTCCAATTTAAGTATACCAGTTTAGTATACCAAAAGTACAATTGCAGGGTATTTTATTAAGCACATAAATATGTAAATGTATTTGTAGTATACTTAGCACAAAATAAATGTAATTCAAATACATTTTAGTATATATATATTTTTTTTTGCTAGGGTTTATATTTAATTTTATTTCAGTTACCAAAAGATTTTGTTAACAATAATAACACCACCCTAAGTATTAAACTTTGCTGTGTAACTCGTCATGGACATCGAGTGACACTTTAACTTATGCCGCTTTCTGAGGAGAGCTGTGCTATTACTTTCCTTTGTGATCAGACTTAGATTTTTGACAACAAAATGGATTAAAAAACTTACATTTTCTTCAGAATTTGTAAAAATCTACTTGCTACTCCTACTGCCCTCTTTTCTTAGTAAGTTGAATCAGTGTGTTGAGAAACTACTGGCAGGAAGCCTGAAATAACAGTGAAAATAATGTTTCTTAGTCTGTATCATCCAATAAGAAAACTGTATTTACATGAGTTACAAAGGCAGGCTTTAACTGCAGTCCAACAAACAGATGGGTGCCATTCCTCACAGGTTTTGAGTCTTGACTGTTTGTGTCAGCATGAAATATGTCCTCCAGAGCTATTTTCCTCCAGATCTTTAGGAAGAACCATCTAAATTTCCTGACGTTATTTCTTTTCCCAGTTGCTCTCCAGAAACGGGTCAGTGTCAGTGTCGCGAGCACATGTTTGGCAGACGCTGCGACCAGGTGGAATCTGGTTTTTACTTCATCGCTCTGGACCACTACACTTATGAAGCTGAGGACGCCAAGTTTGGACCTGTAAGTGTCCTCATTATTGCCATCTGTCGAAGTCTTTGAGTATTTGAATGACATATCTCTATCGGTAGGGTGTGACGGTTGTCCCGAGACCCCAGCCTCAGGACAGATCCCCTACTTGGACTGGCATTGGTTTTGTGAACGTTCCTGAAGGTGCCTATCTTGAGTTCAGCATCGACAACATCCCCTACTCTATGGAGTATGACATTATCATCCGATATGAGCCTCAGGTGACTTCCTCTACAGTATAATACTAGCATTGAGATTTGACTAGAACAGTTTAGTAATGAGTAAAGACATGTTTGATCAGCCTTGAGTTAAAGGGTAAGCAGATACATCATTACATCATCTGCTTGCTCTTTCACGGTGTGTAGCTGCCAGAGCAGTGGGAGGAAGTGTTGATGACTGTCATCAGGCCTCGCGTCATTACCGCCGACAGCCGCTGTGCAAACACAATGCCCGACGATGACAACCAGGTGGTGTCTCTGCATCCCGGATCCAGGTATGAGATCAGAAAGATGGACCACCTGATGCACATTACCTTTCATCCAATAATAACTAAGGCAGTATTTTAAGTCATCATGCTGTAGATGTAGTCCTTATGGAAAGACTAAAATAAACTAAAACTATTAAAAACAATTGAAATGAAGCTGAAACAAAAATAAAACTTAAGTATTAGATGAAAAACTAAACAAACATTTGAAATGTTGATTAGGCTACTAAGTTGAAAATTTGAAATGTTGTTTTGGCAACTAACTGACCTAAGTTGAAGCACTAAGATTTCTAACTGTAAATAAATTAAAACTAAAACTTAAACAAAAACTTAAATAAAAACTGAAATAAAAATCAATTATCCCCAAAACAAATAAATAAGTAAAAACAATAAAAGTACATAATTGAATTACTAAAAATGTAACTCGAATCAAAAATTTATAAAAACTACAATAGTATATCAATAATGCTTTTTTTATCGCTATTTTTTTTACAGTCTATAGGGTTCAGGATTTGACCAACCCAAGTCATTATTTATATACTACTGTAGTATTTTTGTAATATTTAGAATTATCTTTTACTTTTATATATTCAGTTTTCATTTTCATTTTAGTGTAGGTTTTGGTAATTTTGTTGTTCTTTTGTTGTTTAAATTAAATTCGTTTCAATTCAGTTTTAGTAATCCAGCTTAAACATATTTATTTCAGTTAGTTTCCAAAGCAACATTTCTAGTTTATATTTCAAGTTTTTCATCAAATATTTATATAATATTTAAATACAAAAAAAGTCATACAAAATGACAAAAGTACATAACAAACTTACTAAAAATTGACCTCGCATTAAAAAGCTAATTCAAAATATTAATAGAAGCTACAATAGTATAAATAATACTAAAACAACACTAGATGGTAGTGAACAACATTTTGCTCATTTTGACCAAATTCTAAGGAAGAGAACGTAATCCCAGAATGTACTGCAATAAATCCAGAGTGGTGTTTATTATAGATATATTTATTGCATGCAAAGCTTAAAAGTAACAATAAACAGTAATTCAATCTAATAAAAACCCAAGATTTTTGTGCCTATTGCATTTTATTCTTATTAGAGTATCAAGCTCTTAGCTTAGCAACATGCTAACGTAAAACCCCATTGAAGTCAATTGCAAGGTGAGTCTATTTGTATGAGTTCCTGTCAATGCAGAGCATTCAAAATCAGTTATTTTGATGTGTCACTTCAGTTAGGATGCTGCCTAGTTAGGTTTTTAGTCAGATGCACTCACATCAGCAAAATTTAGGTGAAAATTTGCAGCCAAGAAAAAGACCCTTTTCGCCCTCATGCAAAATATTAGAATGCGCCAATTTCTATTGAAAGGACTTGATTCTGACTACAAAAATTTGCTGAACTCCAGAAAATGTGACTGCACCTTTAGACGGCTGTTCACTAGGTTTCATTAAGCTGATGTCTTTGAGTGTTAAATCTGAGAAAGTGAATTCTCTTGGTTTTGCCCATCAGGTATGTGGTGCTGTCTAGGCCTGTGTGTTTTGAAGAGGGCTTGAACTACACAGTGCGCTTGAGTCTGTCTCGCTACTCGGCTCTCAGTGATGTGCAGTCGCCGTACACGCTCATCGACTCGGTAGGCTCCCTCTTTTACCCTGTCAGATAGACAATATCAGTTGCACTGGAATCTTCAAATGCTGAACGACCGATTTCTATTCTTGCTCTCAGATCGTCCTCATGCCACACTGCAAAAACCTGGATATTTTCTCTGGCTCTGGGTCAGAGGGTGGAGACATGGTGACCAACAGCGCCTGGGAAACCTTCCAGCGCTACCGCTGTTTGGAGAACAGCCAAGCAGTGGTGAAAACCCCCATGACTGATATCTGCAGGAATTACATCTTCAGTGTGTCGGCTTTTCTGCACCAGGGAGTTAAAGGTACATCCATAACTTCATAATAAATTACCCACCTTAAATTGAACTAATAATATTTGTGATGATATGTGTTAAATTATGTTCTTAGTCTTTCCTTCCTATGACGGGGAAGCCCAGACAAATGCTACATGATTGTATGTTGAATTAAATTTCAGAAACAGTTTATTGTGCAATCAAAATACCCATATCAATCAAGCAAAAAATACAAAACAAAAAAACTTTATGCATAATGTGGGACTTTTAATTATAAACAAGCCTGAAATACACCAGGGGCCCGTTTTTCGTACGTCGCTAACTCAGTTAGCTGGATTTGATTGTTGATGATTTGGCATGATCTTGGATTGTTTGGTTCTTCGAAGCTCATCCCGGAGTTGCTGTCATAGCAACAGGTCCGTAAGCTTAAACCTGATCGAACCCATGAACACGCAATTATCTCAGAGAACTCAATCCAGCCGTACTAATCATCAACAACAGGTGTGTTCAAAGAACCGAATTAGCCAGATCCTGATTAGCGCGATGATATCATCTTGGATGTGACATTTCATCTCGGATGTAAGAAGCGACGTACGAAGAACGGGCCCCAGGACTCTTATTTTGAAATGCACATACTTTACCATTACTGACTGCTCATTCAAAAAGTTGCAGATAAAATATTCATTCATTCCATGTTGGCAAAATGAGTCAGAATGCGCACGGGCTACTTTTGAGTTACAGGCAAAAAAAGGTGGTCGAATTTTAAGATTTCACAAAAATTTTTTCATTAAAGGGATAGTTCACTTCATATGATACATTATGTAAAAAATACAGCCCTAGAACTCCCTACTAGGAAAATTAGGCCACATTTCAAGGCTACACTTTAATAAGTAGCAAACAACATTGAAGCTATGTGAGGAGGCAGTCTTTTAAAATATGTAACTTTTAAATATCTAACAATTATATCTGATGATACAATTTTAACAGAGCAGTATAATGGCACAAAATTAACAATAGTTTTTGAATCAAGTGTCTCAAGTATGGTGACACTATTAAACTTATTCTAACTAATAAAACTAGAAACACTCTAATTACAGTAAGTTAAAATCAAAGTGATGAACAGATGCATTTGGCTTTAAAAAGACTAGTTTCATGATCCTTCTTCATCTTAGTAATCACAGGTATTAGAGTATTAAAACGGATGTTTTAATTGTCCTTGATTTTACTTTTAGTGGGAAAAAAATGGTGTTACAGTTGGTGAGATCAATTTATTCATTCTGTTTAACTGTCCATTTCAATAAATCAGTGTATATATATATATATATATATATATATAATGAATAAATAGGCCTATACGAGAAATATATATCTTTACTTAAATAATAAATTAAGAAAATGAAAGAAAAACATTCTTCATCTTAGTAATCACAGGTATTAGAGTATTAAAACGGATGTTTTAATTGTCCTTGATTTTACTTTTAGTGGGAAAAAAATGGTGTTACAGTTGGTGAGATCAATTTATTCATTCTGTTTAACTGTCCATTTCAATAAAAGATTTGTGTCATTATTTAAAAGTGTGGAATTCTTCATATTTTAATTTTTTTTGTAAATAAATATTATAAATAAATGTTTTTGTTATGCATTGATATTGTGCTGTAGAAATGAAAATAATTGAATATTCATCCATCAGTTAATTTAGTGAAAAACTACATTTATTTTTATTTATTTTTAAATAAAAAAAATTATTTATTACAATTTTTTATTTATTTAAAAAAAAAAAAAATTATATTTTTATTTGTATTTATTAAAAATTATTTTTTACTTGAAACATTTAATCTGCAAAAATGGTTGTTTGGTCAAAAAAAAAAAATCTCTGATTTGTAAAAAATTAAGCTGTTTCAAAGCATAAAAGATCATAAAGCATTAAATATTTTCAATTTTAGCTATACAATCTGACATTTTAGGAAAGGATATTTGTACCTCAATTTGCTCGGCTGTTTTTGGCTTGTCGTTTATATTGCTATAGCTTCTTATATTTTTAATTCTTGTTCTTTTCTAAATAGGCCTACTGTTAATTGAAAGGCTTTGTTGTGGAGTGACGGGAACTAAAATAGCCTAGCTATGTTTACAGTGTTTATTATAATGTTTGTAAACATTTCGTGTTGGCATTAGGCATTTCTGAATGAAATAATAAAATGCGACTTATGTTTTTTTTTCTCTAGAAAACACAATTGTAAAAAATTAAGCTGTTTCAAAGCATAAAAGATCATAAAGCATTAAATATTTTCAATTTTAGCTATACAATCTGACATTTTAGGAAAGGATATTTGTACCTCAATTTGCTCGGCTGTAAAGCTCCATGCACAATATGATGCGGCATAAAAGCCAGCGACCTGCTACAGTTAGGAAAGCATAGCTAGTAACTAAAGTAACACTATTTTGAAAAGTATACGGTCGGTTAACGGTTAACCGGTTAAAATGAACATCCCTACTTACAACCATCTACAACATATTACTGTATAAACACCATAAAGTAAACATTGCACCAACAGTAGATTTTAAGCAATCTTTTGGCATAAATGCACATCAATTTTTAGTTGCAAATGCAAGTGTAATGCCCACACTATACTTTTAAGAATTATTAGTTATTTTTTTAAATTCTAGTTATAATATCACAAATGGCATACTAACTTGATCTTTATGATCTTACCACTTTGTTTAAAGTGCACACACATACAGATTCTCAGCCTGTCATCATGGCATGACTTTGGCTCCATTCTCTAACCACATAAGAATCCCCTTTTCCCTTTATGATAGACGTGCCAGTCTTCATTCTGTCATCGTTCATTCAGCTTTCATTTTCCTCTGTCTGATGTCTCTCATCAGAGGTGCTTTCCTGCCTCGTGTCAGAGCTTGTAACAAGGCCTCAGGCATAATTATACTGCTTTACATGCTTCCTGTCTGAGACTTTACAATTTCATCAACTGTCAGGACAAGAAGAAAAGCAAAAGACATGGCTAGAGGCGTAAATCAGAACACAAGCTTTGCTGACTATAAATATCAGCTAAAGTAACACTATTTTGAAAAGGTTTGTGGTGTTGTTACTTTAGTTTCTCCTCAGCACTGCTTTAGCGATCCACTAGGACTGATGATTGCTTTAAAGAACAAGTAAAATTTCCTGGCTCTTCTGGCCTGCACCATATGTTTTTTGTGGGTCTTTCATGGTGAGATGACTTGCCAAGTCACTAAGCAAGCATTTTTACGCAGGTGGTTTGAACTCAGAGCCACTGAGGTGTCGAGTTGAACTCCGGTGAATTACCTCAGTGTGATTTATAAGCTGTGCACATCCACCAGAGAGGCTTTTTTGGGTTTGAGCCCATGCTAAACTGTATGCAAGCTCCAACCTGTTAATACTGATATAAAAATTTTGTTAGCCAATAGGTATTTTTACAGCCATTAACTAATATAATGGATGATATACATGAATGTATAAGAGATCAACCGATATTGTTTTTATAACCGATAAAACTTTAGTTTTTAACTACAGTTTGATATGAGGTTTTAGGTGTTGTTTATTTGGTTAAAAGAGTGTACTGGAATAGTTATACATTGTCAGGAAAGTAACAAACAAAACGGTAAATAAGATTACAGTAGAGTTCATTTTGAGTGGCATGTTGTCAGAATTATTATTTATATTTTTGTCGGCCTAGATTATGAAATACCTGCTGATCAACGCTCTCATTGTCATCCCGAATTTTTTTTAAACATGATTATTGTGTAATAATGTTATTTTGCATGAAGAATTTATTTGCGCTTATAAAAAACTTGACACTCAAACAGCATTGTTTGTGAAGATAGCAAATTAATTTCCACAGAGTATTTAGATGACTATTAATAGTGCAATAAATAGTAAACGTTAATATAATAGCCGATATACGGGTGGGCGATATGACCAAAATCTTATATCATGAAATGAGTAATTTTATTTCACGGTAACAATATATATCACAATATAGTTTGGCTCCATTCTCTAACCGCATAAGAATCCCCTTTTCCCTTTATGATAGACGCGCCAGTCTTCATTCTGTCATCGTTCATTCAGCTTTCATTTTCCTCCGACTGTTGTCTCTCATCAGAGGTGCTTTCCTGCCTCGTGTCAGAGCTTGTAACAAGGCCTCAGGCATAATTATACTGCTTTACATGCTTCCTGTCTGAGGCTTTACAATTTCATCAACTGTCAGGACAAGAAGAAAAGCAAAAGACATGGCTAGAGGCGTAAATCAGAACACAAGCTTTGCTGACTATAAATATCAGTGTGAAAATGACGACTTTCACATGAAGAAATCAAACACAGCATAACACACTACTACTGAAAAGACATCTTCAAGTCATACTTTAAGAAACTGTAACTTGTCAAGCTTTATATGATACAGAATGTAAAAATACAGTCAAACTCCCTTCTGGGAAAAGATTTTATTTCACGGTAACAATATATATCACAATATAGTTATTTTTGCTTTAAATAAGGTCATTATGATATTTAAATTTTTTATACCATAGAAATGTCATAATTCTTGTCATCAGACTCTATATCACAAAAAAAACAAAACTGAAGACAAGTAAGCAGTCAGGGATTAAAAAAAGAATAAGAAACTAATTGCAAGCAATAGGACGAAAATACTGTAGAACAAAGAAATAAGAAATACTACATACATTGTATAAAGCAGAGGTCCCCAACCACCGGGTCGTGGAAGAATTGTACAGCATGAATATTAGACTGCTGTCACTTTAAGAGCTGCCCGGATCCAACATACTGTTACACATGTGTTTTCTTTCTCAGCTGTTTGCTTTCACTTAAGACCTAAATTACTGTGTTTACAAGGATACTTGCAAAGACGGGCATTTCGACATGTATTTATTCGTTCAGGGCCTATAAAGCGGCAAAAATAACTCCGTTCGATACTCCCCGCATTCAATACATGTGCACGAGCCTCTCAGACAGCGCTCAGAAACAGTCTCTCAGATAGATCAAGCATACAGCAAAATGAGTTCTCTTTCGCTGCTGATTGCGTTTCAATGGCATAAAATCACTTGCAATGTTTAAAAACCTCAGACAGCGCTCAGAAACAGTCTCTCAGATAGATCAAGCATACAGCAAAATGAGTTCTCTCTACTGGTATATCACCCACCCTAAGCCGATATTACACAACCGATATTCAGGTAAGGAAAAATCCTTAAATCTTGTAAAAAATATTGGTTGATCTCTAGAATGTAGAGAAAAGAGGGATAGCTGTGTGAAAAACAATTGAATTTGGTAAAAAAAAAAAAACCCAACCAGATCAATCCTGACAGTAAAAAAAACTCTAATATTGGTCACGTTTATTTAGGGTGAATTCAGGTAAATTGTAGCACTTTTGCCATTGAAATGACTGAGAAAAAATGCCCCAGTTACTTTGAATTAACCCTATATTTCTTTTTTTTCTCTTCTGTTTCTCTCAGCCTGTCAGTGTGACCCGCAGGGGTCTCTCAGCACGGTTTGTGACCCGAGCGGTGGCCAGTGCCAGTGTCGGCCCAACGTGGTTGGCAGGAACTGCGACAAATGTGCCCCAGCGACCTTCCTTTTTGGGCCGCAAGGCTGCAGGCGTAAGTGCAACTTGTCAATAGCATAGACTGCACCATGTATTTCCTTCACAAGCATAATTGTGGTCTGTTGTTGGTTTAGCATGTGATTGCAGTCCTGAGGGGTCTGTCCACTCCTTCTGCCACGAGGCCAGCGGTCAGTGCGAGTGTATTCCCGGAGCGTATGGGCGGCAGTGCGACCGCTGTCTGCCGGGATACTGGGGATTCCCTAACTGTCGCCCCTGCACTTGCAATGGCCACGCTGAGCAGTGCGACCTGCTCACGGGACAGTGTCTGTCCTGCAGGGACCACACCACTGGACACCACTGCAAGAGGTTAGTCACTGTGTTCTTTCTTCAACATTATAGGTTGATGTTTACATGAAAGTATAGCCTTTCATTTATGAAATCTCTTCTGCAGGTGTTTGAATGGCTACTATGGTGACCCCGTCCTGGGCTCTGGAGACCACTGCCGCCCCTGCATGTGTCCGGATGGTCCCGGCAGCGGAAGACAGTTCTCCGGCGCGTGTTATAAGAGCCTCGACTCCAACCAGGTGTTCTGCGTCTGCAACCAGGGATATAAAGGTAACCAGCAGACATCTTATTTGATTTATAAGAGCATCTGTCAGGAACACCGTAAATTTCCTGTATCATGACACACGCTAGAACGTGTCATGTAGTTTACTGTACCATTCAAAAGATTGGACATTTTTATGATTTATGTTTTTGAAAGAAGTCTCTTCTGCTCACCAGGGCTACATTTATTTGATCAAAAATACAGTAACAACAGTAATATTGTGAAATGTTATTACAATTTTAAAGAACTGTTTTCTATTTGAATATATTTTAAATGTAATTTATTCCTGATGTGATCAAAGCTGAATTTTCAGCATCATTACTCCAGTCTTCAGTGTCACACAATCCTTCAGAAATCATTCTAATATGCTGATTTGATGCTCAAGAAACATTTCTGATTATTATCAATGTTGAAAACAGTTGTGCTGCTTCATATTTCTGTGTAAACTGATCAATTGTTTAGGGCCATTTATTTTGATGAATAAAAGCACAGTATTTATTTAAAATAGAAATCTTTTTTAACAAAATAAATAAATGTCTTTACTGTCACTTTTGATCAATTTAATGTATCTATGTTTAATAAAGTATTAATTCCTTAAAAATGTCTTACCCCAAACTTTTGAATAGTAGTCTATCACGGTTTTCGACACACACATATTAAACAGAAAAAACTGTTTTCAAAACAGTTTGATAATATTAATAAATAATAGAAAAAAGTCTCAGGGTTTCCCAAAAAAAATGAAGCAGCACAACCACTGATAATAATTCAAATGCCTGTACCACACCGAGGGCGAGGGCTGCAACCGCTGCAAGCTCGGTTATCACGGCAATGCACTGACCCAGAGCTGCAGAAGTAAGTTCTTGACGAAATGTTTCATTGTTTCAATACTGTGTTTACAAAAATATGATCCACATTTTTTTATTATATATTTTTGGCTTATAAAATAGTTGGACAAAGTAGTTAGGACAAGTATTATTGTCGATACAATGCCTGATTTATAAATCTATTTAAAACATAGTATGGACAATTGAAAAGATTAGTACTTTTGAAGTCTAGATAAAGTTTTTTTTACTAGTATAGTAAAAAAAGTCATTTTAAAATGTACATTTTGTGCATCTAGTATAATTATGCATTTGACTCCTGGCCGTTGAGTTTCTAATGTTTTGTCCTGGTCTTTCTCAGAGTGTGTGTGTAATCATATGGGCTCTGTTGAGGAGACGTGCCCCTCTCCGGGTAACTGCAACTGTGACTTGAACAGCGGTCAGTGTCAGTGTCTTCCTAACGTGGTGGGCCAGAACTGCGATCAGTGCGCACCGGACACCTGGAATATGGCCAGCGGGAGAGGCTGCGAGGCCTGCGATTGCGACCTCAACCATTCCTTCAGCTCGTCCTGCAATGAGGTCAGACCACCTTCACACACATATGTCATGTTTGGGATCGTAATAAAGTGCACATGGATTAATCTGTATTTTTTTATTCTCTGTGCTGTAGATTATGGGCCAGTGCTCTTGTAAACCCGGGTTTGGCGGCAGAACCTGCCGAGAGTGTAGAGAGCTGTTCTGGGGAAACCCTGAGGTCAAATGCCACGGTGAGTTCAGAAAAACTGAAAAAATATCAGTGCAATAAATGACCCAATCAATTATGATAATAATTTGCAATGCATTTAACTTTAGTAATGTGATGTATTTCTAAGGGAACCAGAATATTCTTTAGGAAATTATTTATTACAGTGCGTTATTTTGTTTATTTTATTTTTAATATATTAAGACAAGTTAGTTGTGATATTTGTTTTAATATTAATATAAAAGGATGCTTAAAACTGATCAAAAGCGACAGTAAAGACATTTCTAATGTTATAAAAAAAATTATATTTCAAATAAATGTTGTTCTTTTGAACTTTCAAAGAATCCTAAAAAAAAAAATCATGATTTCCAAAAAACAAAAAAAATGTATATATATATATATATTAATCAGCACAACTGTTGATAATAATAAACATTGATAATAATAGTTTCTTGAGCACCAAATCAGCATATTAGAATTATTTCTGAAAGATCATGTGACACTGAAGATGCTGAAAATTCAGCTTTGATCACAGGAATAAATTACATTTTAAAATATATTACAACAGAAAACAGTTATTTTAAATTGTAATAATATGTCACAGTATTACAGTTTTTACTGTACTTTTGAACAAATAAATGCAGCTTAGGAGAGCAGAGAGACTTCTTTTGAAAAAAATGAAAAATACCTCATTCAGACCCCAAACATATTTACTGTATATATATATATAATTATTTTTATATAATAGTATTATTATATAACTGCCTATGTAGTCTTGGTTATGACAGTAGTCCGAAAACTATTATTTTGTATTCTGAAAAATTCACACCAATAAAATGTGCACAATAAGACCAGGGAAATGTAATGATTTTAATTTCATTTAAAAAAGTAAATCTTGAATTTAAATGATCGCTGCTGAACATTGAATAAACCCAGATAACGCAACTAAGCTCCTTTTGCTGCCATTGCAAACACTGCAGATTTGTGCTGCCATTACCCCAAACCATAAAATCTGTAGGCAACCCAGTTTTGTAGGAATGTCTAGCAGAATGGAGAAGTCCTCGGCCCACTCTCTGATTCGCCCCAGATGTGCACGACCATGACGAGCTCGTGGGGGGATCTGTCCAAGCCTCGCAATACCCTCTCTACTCCCACAATGCACCTTTGTATTCGTGGGCTTCCCCTTATGGGGCCATTAGTGTCTGCCGCAGTGCTTCTCCTCAGAAAAGAGGCTTTGTCCTCTCTCTGACTGTATTTGCGGCTGTGCAGACCATAACTTTGGAAATCTATTTGAACTCGATGAAGAATTTTCTGGTGCTTTTGAGATCTTGAACACAAGGGAAGTGCAGATTCTGATGGTATTCTGAGCATCGACTATCTACAGATCTCCTTCAAGATCATTGTGACGCATTGTTTTGTTAGCCCTTCACCACAATCTCAGCCCAATTAAGAGCTCATTATCAAGGGTGATGCATGTAAAATATAACCCAGCATCAGCATTACCATCACTTTACAAGTTGGTGAAAGAGATTTCCAGTGAGTAACATTTCAGTCTGTTCACACAAAGTGATATAAACAACTTTTATGGTACATTATTGAAATGACATTGGTAATCGAATGCAGATTTTTTTGTTGTTGCACAAACTATTCCTTTAATAAGCCATTTGGTCTTAAGCAGAGCAGGTTTTGGACTCTCTTTGAGCCGATAAAGTGGTGTGCTGACAGAGATCTGTTCCACTCCCACACCCCTCCGTTTGTTTGGAGAGTCCTGATGGAGCAGGAAGCCACCCGTGTTCCTCTAAGATCCAGTTACCCCTCTATAACCCTCCTGTTGACTCGCCCTCAGTATGCTCTTCCCTCTTCCAGCACAGCACTGAGCGTTTGTTCAGCTTGAGCTGTGCTTTATGTGGTTTCCTGTTAAATACTAGTTCGATAACCTTGTGAAAATATATTAATCAGCACAACTGTTGATAATAATAAACATTGATAATAATAGTTTCTTGAGCACCAAATCAGCATATTAGAATTATTTCTGAAAGATCATGTGACACTGAAGATGCTGAAAATTCAGCTTTGATCACAGGAATAAATTACATTTTAAAATATATTACAACAGAAAACAGTTATTTTAAATTGTAATAATATGTCACAGTATTACAGTTTTTACTGTACTTTTGAACAAATAAATGCAGCTTAGGAGAGCAGAGAGACTTCTTTTGAAAAAAATGAAAAATACCTCATTCAGACCCCAAACATATTTACTGTATATATATATATAATTATTTTTATATAATAGTATTATTATATAACTGCCTATGTAGTCTTGGTTATGACAGTAGTCCGAAAACTATTATTTTGTATTCTGAAAAATTCACACCAATAAAATGTGCACAATAAGACCAGGGAAATGTAATGATTTTAATTTCATTTAAAAAAGTAAATCTTGAATTTAAATGATCGCTGCTGAACATTGAATAAACCCAGATAACGCAACTAAGCTCCTTTTGCTGCCATTGCAAACACTGCAGATTTGTGCTGCCATTACCCCAAACCATAAAATCTGTAGGCAACCCAGTTTTGTAGGAATGTCTAGCAGAATGGAGAAGTCCTCGGCCCACTCTCTGATTCGCCCCAGATGTGCACGACCATGACGAGCTCGTGGGGGGATCTGTCCAAGCCTCGCAATACCCTCTCTACTCCCACAATGCACCTTTGTATTCGTGGGCTTCCCCTTATGGGGCCATTAGTGTCTGCCGCAGTGCTTCTCCTCAGAAAAGAGGCTTTGTCCTCTCTCTGACTGTATTTGCGGCTGTGCAGACCATAACTTTGGAAATCTATTTGAACTCGATGAAGAATTTTCTGGTGCTTTTGAGATCTTGAACACAAGGGAAGTGCAGATTCTGATGGTATTCTGAGCATCGACTATCTACAGATCTCCTTCAAGATCATTGTGACGCATTGTTTTGTTAGCCCTTCACCACAATCTCAGCCCAATTAAGAGCTCATTATCAAGGGTGATGCATGTAAAATATAACCCAGCATCAGCATTACCATCACTTTACAAGTTGGTGAAAGAGATTTCCAGTGAGTAACATTTCAGTCTGTTCACACAAAGTGATATAAACAACTTTTATGGTACATTATTGAAATGACATTGGTAATCGAATGCAGATTTTTTTGTTGTTGCACAAACTATTCCTTTAATAAGCCATTTGGTCTTAAGCAGAGCAGGTTTTGGACTCTCTTTGAGCCGATAAAGTGGTGTGCTGACAGAGATCTGTTCCACTCCCACACCCCTCCGTTTGTTTGGAGAGTCCTGATGGAGCAGGAAGCCACCCGTGTTCCTCTAAGATCCAGTTACCCCTCTATAACCCTCCTGTTGACTCGCCCTCAGTATGCTCTTCCCTCTTCCAGCACAGCACTGAGCGTTTGTTCAGCTTGAGCTGTGCTTTATGTGGTTTCCTGTTAAATACTAGTTCGATAACCTTGTGAAATCCCAAGCTTTACGTTTTGTTTAACCACAACTGATTTCCTCAGAGATTTTATAGGTTGTACTTTAACTTTTTGTATAATTAGTACAACTTTAGTGTGCCTAGAGGCGTCGTCTGATCTGAATTCTGATCAATTATGGTGCTACATTTACATTGGTTCATTTAGCAGACAGTTTTATCCAAATTGAGGAATCTTGAATTTATATAATTTATATCTTGAAGCCTAAAAGTTAATTAAAAGTTCATGCTCTATTAGCCAAACAGTAAAACAAATTTGGTAAAATGTTCCTTAAACTCTAAAAGCCCTTGTGAAAGGATTGATAGCCAGACATAGTTGTGTTCAAAAAGTGACGTTTCCTCCCATGCATTTTTGCAATAACCTTATCTGCATGGTGATGAAAAACAGATGGAAAGGATACATATATTCAGGGGTGCACATAAGTTTTTCGGTCTGGTTCTCATGAGAGCACCTAGAGATTTGGTTTGGTGCTGACACTGCACATAGTGTGACCTGTTAAATATAACTATAAAAAATAAAAGAATTAATAATAGTAAAAATAATGTAATTGTGCTTTATTTAATTAGGTTATTTAAAAAAATAAAAATAAACAAAATAATAAATAAAGTGTGATATTATATTATTTTAAAATAAAAAAATGAGTATTCAATAAAAATATAATTATTTTATAGTACACGTAAAAATATAATGCTAATATTTACATTTTAATTTTTTTCTTTTAGACTCTTTTCTTTTTTATATGAATTTTCAACATTTTTAAACCTAAAACCAGAAAGCTTTTATTTTGGCGAGTTGCCAGCAAGTAAGTATATGCACTGCCGGTTTTAGCGCTGCCGACTGAAGCGCGTCAGTGAACGAAATGTCACAGTTTCACGTTTTGTGCCAAAACAGGCAACGCAAAGCTTAGATTTACGCTTTCTGTTTGAATGGAAATCTTATACAGTATTACAGTTAGTCAATCAAAAACAGTGCTTGTGCATTAACAGCCGTCAACCATGTCGGTGCGCAAATCAGCGGTTTGAACTTATTTACCTCGCGCATTTTTTATTTTGGTCGCACATGCACACCTGTGCACCACTTACGTGCACCCCTGCATATATTCCTGTATCAGACAGCCATGTAAAACATATATTTGTAAATGAAAACCTACTGACAGTTAGATTCGAAGTAACTGCAGATCTTTAGTTGGTTTGAGACTAAATTTATTTATAGAAATTGGATGTTGGGCATGCCGCGGCAGCTGCCCTCATGGCTGGTTACTGTTTACACAGATCTGGCAAATATATCACCAACCCAGAAGTTGGTGCATTTTTTAAGGCATAATTTCCAAGAGCTTGTTAACACCGTCATGAATGTTTAACAGCAGTAAAATGGACTTTGTTATTACAGAAGTACCTCTCGAGTGGTTTAGTCTGGGAGACTGTGGTTTTCCTTCTCAGCTGGCGTGTGATATGTTTTATATCCCCATGCCTTAGCCATATACGTCTATGTAAACGATTGCTGAGTACACAAACGCACTGTATTGCATTCAATCTTGTTTATTTTAGGCCTGCTTTTCAAAGGTTCATGTAATTCTCAAGGCGGCTTTTAAACAATAAAATGCTGATGTGTTCCTCGGGCAGTAAAAGCCTATCTTAGAATTGTTGTGTCAGTTGCTACTAAATACTTCCCATCACCAACACAAAAGATCCTGCACCTGTTACCGTCTCCAGGGGTCACATTCACGGCATTGTCCCAACAAGAAACACCCCCGATGCCGCCTGAGGCCCCCTGGATAATAGCAGGGATTAGCCTCCGAGATAATTCCCTATCTCTAGTACCTTGTATGCGTTAGTGGCCTTAGGTGAAGGAGTCTTTTCCTGTGGAATGTGTGTTTAATCACGTCACACTGGAATGTGTTTCAAGTAAACGAACCATCCCAGACAGTGTCCCCTTTCACGTATTGTATGTGTCACATATATTGTCCTGAATTCTCCTCGGGGGTCAAAAAAGTGCTGGTCTCTGGTTACCCGTTTACCTTTAAAAACATGCGCTCTGTTAAAAATCCTAGTGAGCTACCAACCTACCTAGGCAGCATCATTTTCCTGCCCTCTAATGCCAAATTTACACTACAAAGTTGGCACAGAAGCACTTCTGATCTGGCATTCATGTGTCTTTACACAGACTGCATAATGCTGCTCAGAGGTGGCATGAATGCATTTACACTGCAATTTCAACTGTATACTTTGATACGAGGGGATGTGGTGGGTCAGAGCAGGCATAAATCTTGCTTTTATACAGCATTATGTCTTTACAGAGAAATTTAAGCAGGGACAGAGCAGCCTTAACATGCAAGCTGTGTAAAGATGCCTTAAGATAATTTGTTTTGGCCAAATTTTTAAGCATCGTTCAATGGAGAAGACACCATGTGAGTTTTGTCTGATTTTGTATTTACGAATTGAATGAATGCCACCACAAAGTCGTAATTATGAATGGGAAACCTTGCGAATGCAAAGTTTGTTTTGAGCCCAGAGTTCATTTAAACGCACCTGACGTCGTAATTTCCAACTCATAAATGCTAACTTTTCAGTAGGGCTTGAACGCACCATCAGAATGATTTGTGCCATGATTTGTGCTGATATTTCACTCAGTGCTAAAAAGTATTGATAAAAGTTAGTTCAGTCTAATTAAAATGAACTATTTCACACAATATTTGTGAGTTCTATGTATTTTTATGCTTATTAGAGTAGTACATTGTTAGCGTAGCAGCATGCTAATGCCAAACTGTATTGGAATCAATAGCATGTTGCATGAGGAGCACTATTGTTGTGGTTAACAGAATTGCTGCCTGTGTAGAGCATTCAAAATCAGTCACTTAAGCTACACATTTAAATAGGATAAAGGTATCTTTATTGCAGTAGACAGCTAGCTGTTAACTAGGTTTTGGAATAGTGCTAAACATGTTAAAAATTTAATATGAGAAATAGATTCTTTGACTGGTGAAAATGGTCTTGATGAAGGTTAACAAGGCCGTTACAACTAGAATTTTCTGTGGATGAGCATGTTTGTTTAAGGGCCTCATTTTAAGTCATTCCTAGCGTGGTGTTTGCTAAGTGTCTCACCTGTCATTGTGGGGCAGTTATTGCCTTTTGTTCACCAAACACTCGCAGTGCAGTGCAGCACTAAAGTGCGCAAACAATCTTTTCCTTCATCCTTCCACTCCCACCACCTCCCCCTGACTCCATCGCTCACTCTTTCAGCTCCAGCCTAATAAGGTCACAGTAACTCAAAGTTTGCACTTGTTGACAGAAAATGCCACAGTCAATGAACGGTTGTCTTAAACATCTCGGTTCATTTCTTTTAGCCTTTCAAATGTTATTTTTCTAAAATCGGTGTCTTTCTGTAGAAATGTGGCCAAGCAATCTACCCAACTAATTATAGTAAATATAATAACTGAATCACCATTTTGCCAATGCTTTTATGCAAAACACAGCACAAAATTATTGAATTCTTAGTTAAAAATGTTGTAATTTCAATGTTTTATCTTTTTACTTCTATTATAAATGCAAAAAATTCTACAAATTTATAAATTCATTGTTAATGATTTATTATTATTATTAATTCTTATAAATGAAAAAAATAATATTTACCCAATAATTTTGTGTATTTTATGCTTTTAGTAGACCTTTGTTAACTCAACAACATGCTTAACTTTAAGTTATTTTAGTGTTATTTCTACATTATTACATATTTTATCAATATTTTTGATTTGCTTTTCTTTTCTTTTTTGTCAGTTAATTTTAATTTAATTCAGTTTAATTTTAGTAATTTGGTTATGTGATTTTGTCATTTTTTTATAGTTTTTTTCTTTCTTTTTTTTAATATTACCATTTAGGTTTAATTTATTTTTACGTTTTAGCTTCAGTGCTATTTTATTTTTCATTTATTTCCGGTCAGTAATTTTAATGCTTCAAATGAAACTTATTTCAGTTAGTTGCCAAGTTTAAGGGTTTTTTAAAATATCTTGATTTCAGCTTCATTTTGGTTAACAGAAATATTCTTAATAGTTTTAGTTAATGATAAGCCTGCGTTAAACTTCAGGTCCCTGTACTTAAACCTCAGTATTCCTGTATATTTTCAGCATGTGACTGTGACCCAAGAGGCATCGCGGAGCAGCAGTGCAACAAGGTCACAGGTCACTGCGTTTGCGTGGAAGGTGTTTCCGGGCCTCGATGTGACACGTGCGCTCGAGGCTACACAGGCGAGTTCCCACACTGCAAGCGCTGCCACCAGTGCTTCGCCGAATGGGATGTAATTGTGGGCGACCTCACCAACCAGACCCACAGACTGGTCCAGAAAGTCAATACCATCAAAGCCACCGGCATTACGGGACCCTACCAGGCCACCATCAATAACGTCGAAAGCAGCGCCAACTCGATCCGCAACATCCTGGCCCAGAATCCAGCCACTCAGCCTCTAACGGAGATCCAGGGACTTCTCGAACAAGCAACGTAAGTTAAAGCCTTTCTCAGGATGTGGAAGCAAGTGTAGATCCTTCTCATCAGGTCTCATGAGAATAATCTGTTTCTGTCTCTGAAGTGCCTTGATGGCTGAAATGAACACCAACCTTAACCTGACAGAGGAGACCTTGTCCGAGATCTCATCCGACAACAACAGCACGGACACCAAACTGAAGTCCCTCAACGAAGAAGCTCAGAAACTGGAACAGACGGTGAAGGACCTTCAGAAGCAGGTGGAGTTTGTGAAGAATTCAGACATTCGAGGTGAGTAACATCACTCTAGATCTTGTAAAGCCCTTTTCATCAACAGTCCCAGACAATGCATCAATGCAACATGTTTTTCGATCCTCAGGGGCCAGAGCCAGCGTGACTCGATACTATGAGCAGTCCCAGATGGCAGAGATCCGTGCGAATGCCTCCACCATTGACCCAGACAACCTGGTCAATCAGTCTGCCACCCTGCGGACAGAAACGGAGGACTTGATGAACCAGACCAAAGAAGAGTTCATTCAAAGGCAGGACGAGTTTGCGAAGAAACTGGACAACCTCGCTGGACAGCTGGAGACTCTGGACCTGACTGATCTTAGCGAGAAGGTAAAGCAGTCAACAGATTGATGAATATGGTCAAGAGCTTATCTAATCACTGACATACAGTAGTTTTAATTAGCAACGTTTAGTTTTCAGAAACAAATCAATGTCACTTTCATGTTATATTTTTGTGAAAAATCTTTGGAGATCCTCAGGCTTTTGTTTCTTTTTTGTTTTTTGCTGTCACATAATATTCTAAACATTCTATTACATGTTGCAAATTGTTTGGCTCATTGAAGATAGGTGTACCGTTGCTGATTGGACTTATGTTTTTGCTTGGCGGATTATAAAACAAGTGAAAACCTAAGTAATATCAAGATACCAGAATGTCATAGAGTTTGGCGATTTCGCAAAAAAAATTAAATCTCTATTTTTTCAGAACGTTTGACCAATTCTCGATTTTTTTTGACGATTTTTAACTAGTCAATTAAAAAATTTAACTACAACATGATTCAAGTAACCTTTTCTTTATTAACCCTCTAGTTAAAGACAAATATATTCCAAGTGTCACCATGATGCAAACATGAAATATCAGACATACAGTAGTAGTTACAGGTTTTTTATTCGATTGCGCTGCTTTTCCATTGTTCCATTCATGCATGAAACAGCAGTCTAAAAATGTGGCGCTCAAGTTAAAAGAAGTTCACTCCCATCTTCTTGCATGTTTTTCTTATTCCACTGCCCACGTCGCATCTTTGTCAACACAAAAGCACATTCTGTGTGAATGGCACCTAGCGATATGAGCGCGTCACTCGTGAGCGGTTAATCATTAGGCCGACATTCGGTTGGATCGTTCTGTTCTCTTTACTGTTATCATTGGCATAAAGTGTCTAATTCTAACATTTGGTAATATTTCTGTTCAAAATTCGAATTAATCGGTAAAATCGGAAAAATCACCCAGCCCTACATAGAGTCTTAGGGGTGGGCCAGTAATCAAACTCCCAGAACACACTAACAACTGCATAGCAATGAGTTTGCAACTACCTAGAACCATAAATATAAATGCACAGATGCTTTATTAGTGGCTGTTTCTGTGGAAAAGTAAAGGTCGGTCCGTGAACACTCGAGAGCAAGTTGATTGTGCGTCTGCAACTGTAGTTATATGCATATATGAAAACACGAGTAATTGGCTTCCAAAGTTGGATTTCCAAAAGTTCCAAGATGGCAGATGAATCTGGATTGTACCTATACATATCTATGCCTAGAACACCCTATAGATATGTAAAGCTAGATGCCCTATTAGCAGCTGTTTCTGTTGACTGCTATACATAAGCTATCACCATATTGAAATGGCCAAAGCAGGTCTGTGAACACTCGAGAGCATGTTGACTGTACGTTTGCAACCATAGTTATCCGCATGCAGAGCTGGGTAGTAACTGATTACATGTAATCTGGATTACGTAATGAGATTCCAAAGTTTAAGTACTTGTAATTAGATTATATTGCATTTTAAAATACTCTTTGCTGTCACCTGAACCGCTTTCACCTATTTACTTGAAGTACTCCTGAGATTTTAAAATAAATATTTTAATAATTAAGTAACACATTTGCATGTTCACAGTTTTCTGACATTGGTTAATGGTGACATGACATGCAGGTAATCAAATATTTAATTAATGTTTATTTTAATTTTACATTTTTATGATTTAATTAATTATTAGCTTTTCATCAAACTCGCAAATCCCCTGCAGTTCCTTTAATGTAATGTTTAATGCGATGGAATTTGCATGCAATGGTTTAATGGAATATATTGTCTTACTCTTTGTATTTTTATATCAATATGGTACAAGATTATCCTATTTAAATCAACGTGATAAATGAGTTAGGTCAAAGGTAATCAAAAAGTAGTCTGCTTATATTACCTAAAATGTGTAATGTAATGGATTACATTACTAACTACAATTTTTGTCATGTAATTTGGAATCAGTAACAGACCAAAATTTGTACATTGCTCTGTATGCAACATCTATATGTGCAATAGACTTCAGCAGATGATTTTGCTAAACTAACACGATACAACAAGACGAAGCCATTCGCTACCGCAACATTTAAAGGGTACTATACCCTTTAGTTAATACAGTTAATACATTACATACACAATACAATACATAGTTAATACATATTAAAAACACAAACCAACACATTCTTAATTGTCAAAAAAGTTTATCCAATTTCTTCAGGAATTTAAATTTCGGTGGTTTTTACAACCAGAGGCTGCACAATGTTGTGGCATCTTGAAACTCATTGATTTTAATAGTGAGTGACGACACATTGACCGTTCCAAGATGGCAGACGTGTTGACGTGTCTGGAGCGGTCGAATGTGGCATCTATCTACACATATGTATGCTAGTAACTGCACAGCAATGCCTAGCAATAGAATACCTAGCAAATGCATAGCAAAGCCTTTGCAATCACACAGCATCATGGCAGTAGCTATGTTTCCATCACCCTATTTTAATGCACATTTTGAAGTATCGCATGAGAAACGAGTGATGGAAACGCCAAATTTAGAATAAAATTAAATTCGCAACTTTAGATGGAAACCCGGCTAGTGAGTTTTGCGTATGTAAATAGAAAAGCCTAGTTTTAACTTTGTGATCTCTCTCCGGATAGACATGTGGCAGTCCAGCTGGCTCAGAGAACTGTGCCGACTCTCCCTGCGGAGGCCTGAGCTGTGTGGATGGGGAAGGAAACAGGAAGTGTGGAGGAGAGGGATGTGATGGCCTCGCCACGCTGGCCCACAATGCCTGGCAGAAAGCCAAGGACTTTGACCTGGAGATTATCAGCGCTATGGAGGAAGTGGACAAGCTCTCCAAAATGGTGAGGTTTCTCAGGTGATACTGTATCTGCTGTTGATATGATAAAAGATTTTGCAATGCATTTTTATAGAGATATGCTTCTGTTTGGATCTTCTCACTGTTAGGCACTTGATAACTGCTGATTGCTTTTGTGTAGACATTGTAGGATTTAAAGGATTTCTTTTCTTTAATTTGTATGTTCAGGTGTCAGAGGCAAAGGTAAAAGCAGATGAAGCAAAGCTTAATGCTCAAGAAGTGCTGGCAAAAACCAATGAGACCAAAAAGCGTGTGGATGGAAGCAACGAGGAGCTACGCCAACTCATCAAACAGATCCGAGACTTCCTCACTCGTAAGAAACCCTTACAGGTTTCCTTGAGATAGGTTGCTTGGATGATCAGATCCTTGATTTTTAACTCTTACTCTATCTGCTTCCTCAGAAGATGGAGCGGACCTGGAAAGCATCGAGGCTGTGGCCAATGAAGTTCTGCAGATGCAGATGCCCACCACTCCGGCCCAGCTGCAGAACCTGACCGCAGAGATCAGGGAGCGTGTGGGCAGCTTGACAGAAGTCGAGGACATCCTCAACCAGAGTGCCGCTGACATACTGAGAGCAGAAAGCCTGCTGGAACAAGCCCGCAAGGCCAGGTCTGAGATCTATTCAGTCATCTACATCGATCCCAGAGAACAGTGTGATATAGTAGGCACTTGCCACGATTTTTGCAACCTCATTACCAAATGTGATTATTATTTCCATCAAATTAACATCAAAATTAGTATTTTGCATGCTAGGTTCATTTTTCTTTTCATTTTCTGCAATAGTCTATTTGATAGTTCTTGCAAAAACATGGGATGAGTGCCTCTAATGCTTAAAAAATTTCATCAGACACTAAAGCAGTGGTTCTAAACTTTTTTGACTCGAAGTCCACCACTGTCCAACTTAATATTTAAGCCTCCCCTCCCTCATATTATCTGTAAGATATTTTCAGTATTTCTGCTGTAATTATAACAAAATTGCAAGTTTTCAAGCTTTTTCATTAACAGAAACTAGGAGTATTGACATGCTAATTAACCATAATAGTAAAAAAAAAAAAAAACAGTAGTTATAGAACAGGAAATAAGAAAAATAATTTCGGATTATATTATGATTTTATTTATTTATTCATTATTTATTTTAGAATTTTATTTAGATTTGACATTAGTATAATATATCAATAATAAAATTTTGCTGATTGGCAAAAAAAGGCCCAATATTGCCTAATTTGATGATACCAAGTTACCAATAAAAACTTGTAGCTTTTTTTTTTTTGGCAAAGGAATTAAGTTTTTTTTTTTTTTCAAAGTATATGGATGTATCAGCCTTCATGTATTTATAAAATAAAAAGTCAGCTAAATGTTAAAAATCAAGATTAGGCATGAAATAATGTCTTCTGAATCATTCATACATGTGAAAATTGGCTGAGAATTAAACAAAAAGTAACCTGACTCAGAGGAAGATAGGGATCATGTATTTATGTATTTATAGGTGATTAAGGCATAATACAAGACTTTGTCTTACAAATGGTTGTCGAAAGCAAAAATTTTGTAGGAAAATGTGATGTAAAGCAAAACTATTTTTGGAATGAGCACCCCAAAATTAGCAAGAAACAAGCATTGGATTTCATTTTGCAAATGTGATGCAGGGCGGTGTAATTTTGTGATTTCAATACTCTTAAGTCATCCTGTGGCCCTCTAGTGGGCCCCTGGTTGAGAACCACCTAAAGTGTACCATATCTGTGGAATGTGGTAGCATTGCCACCTACTGGCCAGTTCATTGAACAACATGTTTGTATATTCTCTGGTTTTCACAGGAAGGAGGCGACAGATGTGAAAGACACAGCTGAGATGGTGAAGGAGGCCTTGCAGCAGGCTGAGCGCGCCCAGAGTTCAGTAACCGAGGCACTGAAACAGGCCACTGCTGACATCAAGGGAACGCAAGACTTGCTGGTCTCGGTAAGTCTACATCACCAGTCATTTGTTCCAAGGGAACACTTTTAGGCTTGTTTTATTCATTATCAATATGGTGCAATTTGGAATTGATATTTGAAGCCACTTTATGTGACTCTTTTTCACAAAAGGTGGAGTCTGAGACGTCCGACTCGGAGCTAAAACTGAGTAACGCCACCCGAAGGCTCCTGAAGTTGGAAAGCGATGTAGTTCTGCTGAAAGAAAAGGCTCTCAACACCTCCACCAGTGCCAACAGCACAGAGAAAGAGGCCGATAGCATCAACGCACTGGCTGAGCAGCTCAAAAAGGTGCACGAATTACCTGGACATGATACGTCATCTTTGGTATTACGTTTTTTGGGTTTGTAACCTCCTGTGCTGTGGACTGTTTATGCAGGATCTGGATTCAGAGCTGAAGGACAAGTACAGTAGTGTCGAGGAGCTGATCACACAGAAGGCCGAAGGAGTGGCAGAGGCCAAGAAAAGAGCAGAGAAACTCCAACAGGAAGCCAAAAATCTGCTGCTACAGGCCAGCGACAAACTTCAGCTTCTGAAAAGTACGTCAATACTGCATCTCTAATTCCTGGGAAGCAAATATTACTGCATCAGCATTAGAAAAGAACTACCACACAACTGGTTCCAGTTACATTTTTAATGTTCTCACTTACAATGAGCTAAATTTCTGTTTTTCAGATCTTGAGAAGAGCTATGATGAAAATCAGAAGCTGCTGGAGGACAAGGCCAATGAGCTGGTGGATCTGGAGAAGGCTGTGAAAGAACTGCTTCAGGAGATCAGTCACAAAGTCACCGTCTACAGCACCTGTCTGTTTTAACGCTACTACTGACTGCTTTAGGAAAATATATTAAATTACCTTCTATGTGGAATCCCTGAGAAGGTTTTGTGAGTTTTACATCTGTTACAGCTACAGTTTTACCCATACGTTTATATTTGATCACTGTATGAAAGAGTGTCTCACACTTTTATGAACACAAGAGAATGTAATGTGGATTTTAAAACATAGCAGACCAAAGAGTGAATGTAAGATATGCCCAACATAACTATGAGACTGCAGTTACATTGACCTCATTGTTTCAATTTTAGATTAAAGTTAAAATAAAAAGTAAAATAATATAAATGTGATTTTTTTTGGTTACTGATATCTGGACCAACATGAAAATTCAATCAGAATAAACTCAAGTTAGTAATACAGTGTGAAACTGTGTCATTGTTCCTGTGTGAATTTGTCTCATGTTAATAAAATACAATCTGAGGAAATCAATCAACCTGAGGTTTCATCTTATCCAGATAGAAATTTGTTACCCATTCTCAATGGGAAAGTGCCCAAGCAACATTGCTCAAAAAAAGTTGCCTTGTGTCTCATCAGCCTCTGACATTGTTGCTCAGTGTGGCCATTAAAATAACCAGATCATAAGAGTCATTTGCTTGTGAATCAGACACTAGTCGTGCTGTATATGTTACTATATTTTATAGTAATGTTATTTGTCAACATTACATTAGATTATGCTTAACTAACAAAAGATGTTGATCCAGGAACATGTCTTACTTGGCAAATTCAGGGTGACCAGGGGCCGGATTCACGAAACATTCTTAAGAAGAAATTTCTTCTCAACTGCCATTTTCTCCTTATTTTTAAACTTAAGAAAAAAGTGAAGAATAATTTGTATTCCCAAAAATTAATCTTAAGAATATTCTTATCTTTTTTCTTAAGACTGTTCTTAAGACAAAACTTGAGAAGAATTCAAATTCTTGAAAAGAATCTTCTTACATTTAGGACAGCCCCAGACTTGTCTTAAATCCCAAACAGTAAGAATTATTTAATGCATTTATTGTTTTGTTTTTTCAAATAAATTGTTATATTTAAGCATTACAACAACACTACATATAATACATAGTAGGACTATTAATAGGGATGTGCTTGAGTTTTCTGAAGTGACAGCATGACTGATAATGTAAACAATGATCGGTCATGATTAGCCTATGTGTGACGCTACTTTTACTGACTTCAAAACTCAGTAGCAACTCTAAAATGAGTCAGATAGGGAGCTTTAATTAAACGCTTTTAATTTTAGCTTATAAATACGACATAATATTTAGCAGTATT